TTACACACACACACACACACACACACACACACACACACACACACACACACACAGTGATTATATATTTCTTTCAAAAACTTTTTTCCTGATGGGGCGCCTGGGTGACTCAGTCGGTTAAGCGTCTGCCTTCGGCTCAGGTCATGATCCCGGAGTCCTGGGATCGAGCCCCGCATCGGGCTCCCAGGAGCCTGCTTCCCCCGCTCCTGCCTGCCACTCGCCACTTGTGCTCTCTTTCTCTTTCTGTCACATAAATAAATAAAATGTTAAAAAAAAGACGATTTCTTGAGGATTTCATAAATATATAAAAGCAGGAAAGTATAAAGAACCCGTCAACCCACTTTAACTTAAAATTTGTGGCCAGTCTCATTTCACCATCATCCTATCCAGGCCTCCTCTTCCTGTATTGTTTTGAAGTCAATTACAGTGATAATATTTCATTAATAAATATTTGAGCATGCATCCCTAACAGATAAGGACTCCTTTTGAGATACAACTGACATGTAGCATTGTGTAAGTTTACATAACATGTTGATTTGGTACATTTTTAATTTGCAATATGATTGGCACTGTAGTATTCGCTAACACCGTCACCACATATTTCTTTAAGATCTAGTCTCTTAGCAAGTTTGGTGTTTATCATACAGTGATACTGTCTGTAAGCCCTATGCTGTGCATTAATTTCCAAGAATTACCTTACTTGCCCTCAAACAACAGCTCTCCTACTCCCCCACCGCTCACCATTCTACTCCATTTCTACAACTGGCTTTGTTGGATTCCCTGTATAAGTGGTGTCTTGCAGTATTTGTCTTTCTCTCACTTAGCTCATTTAACCTATCCTCAAGGGGCATCCTCGCTGCAAATGGCAGGATCTCCTTCTTTCTCATGGCTGAATAATATTCCATTGTACAAATATACCACATCTTCTTTATTCATTTATCTGTAGACAGACACTTGGGCTGTTTCCATACCTTGGCTTTTGTGAATTATGCAGCAGTAAACACGAGTGCAGATACCTCCTTCAGACCCTGTTTTCATTTCCTTTGGATATACACCCAGAAGTGGAATTGCTGAGGCATATGGTAGTTCCGATTTAAATTTTTTTTAAGATTTTATTTATTTATTTGACAGAGATCACAAGTAGGCAGAGAGGCAGGCAGAGAGAGAGGGGGAAGCAAGCTCCCCACTGAGCAGAAAGCCCGATGCGGGGCTCGATCCCAGGACCCTGAGATCATGACCTGAGCCGAAAGCAGAGGCTTAACCCACTGAGCCACCCAGGCGCCCCTGATTTAATTTTTTTGAGGAACCTCTATACTGTTTTCCATAGTGGCATTTCCCTGATAATTAGTGATGTTGGGCATCTTTTTTTTTTTTTTTTTAGTAATTGCTACATCCAACATGGGGCTCAAACTCATGACCCCAAGATCAAGAGTCCCATGTTCTCCTGACTAAGCCAGCCAGGAGCCCTGCCTTGCCCATTAAAAAAATACATATTTTATTTACTTGTCAGAGAGTGAGAGTGAGCGAGCACAAGCAAGGGAGTGGCAGGCAGAGGGAGAAGCAGGCTCCCCACCAAGCAGGGCGCCTGATGCGGGACTCGATCCCAGGACCCCGGGATCATGACCTGAAGGCAGATGCTTAACCGACTGAGCCACCCAGGTGTCCCACTTTTAAATCAATTTTTTTGCTATTGAGTTGTAGGAGTTCTTTATACATTTTAGATCTTAAATGATACATAGTTTGCAAATATTTTCTCCTATAGGTTGCCTTTCCATTTTGTTGATTCTTTTGTGGTGCAGAAGCTTTAAATATGATATAATCCCAGCTGTTGGTTTTTTCATTTTGTTCTTTGTGCTTCTGGTGGTGTATCTAAAAAATCATTGCCAAGACCTGTGTCAGGGAGCTTCTTCCCTGTGTTTTCTTCTAGGAGTCTTATGGTATCAGGTTGTCCCACAAATTTTATGAATTGAGAACACTTTTTCAATATAAAAAAGCTGGGGCGCCTGGATGGCTCAGTCAGTTAAGCATCTGACTTCGGCTCAGATCATGATCTCAGCGTCCTGTCCAACATGGAGCCCCATGTTGGGCTCCGTGCTCAGCAGGGAGTCTGCTCCCTCTCCCACTCCCCCTGCTGTTCCCTCTCTCAATGTCTTTCTCTGTCAAATAGATAAATAAAATCTTTTAAAAATGAATTTAAACACTTATTCAAATAGCACCCACACATTGTGATTACGTTTTTAGATCTCTCTTGTGCCTTTCTGTACAAATTTTAACAGACTGTAGAAACAATTGGGTTACTGAAGGCAATCCCACCATGTATGTGGTCTTCTGTCGCTTCTCTCTGAACTACTTACCAAATTCAGAAAAAGAAAAAAGGCCAAGTTTGAATTTCAATTTACTACTTTTCTTTTTAAGGACAGAGTAAGTAAATAATGCTAATGGAACTTGGTGTGTTTTTCTGATGAAGGATTTTTACTGTATATCCTTTAGACTACATGAGATGCTATAATATTTAAGTCTAGAGTCTATAATTGATACTCCACCTGCTTCTAAAAATGTTTTGAAAATGCTTACAACAGAAGTAATAAAAATATTACCTTTAAAGAAATATTTTATTTTTAAGTAATCTCTCTACCCGACATGGGGTTGAACTCACAACCCAGAGAACAAGAGTCATTTGCTCCACTGACTGAGGAAGCCAGCTTCCCCTAAAGATCGGACTTTTTAAAAACACGAAGAGGGGCTGCCTGGCTGACTCAGCCGGTTGAGCGTCCCACTCTTGGTTTCGGGTCAGGTCATCTCAGGGTCCCGGGATTGGGCCCCACGTCAGGCTCTGCACTGGTCATGGAGTTGGCTTGGGATTCTCTCTCCCCTCTCCCTCCCCTTGCCGGTCCGCGTACTCTCTCAAACAAATAAATCTTTAAAAAATTTTTAAAATAAAACATGAAGGGAAGATCCAAATGTTACTAACTACCCAGGTTACAGAAATGTCAGCCGGTAATGACACTCAGGTTTTGGAAAACAAAACCGCAAGTTCACATCTTAATAATAAATGCTAATAATTGTTGAGCCCCCACTATCGGCCTGGTATTCCCCATAACCATCACTTCCCCAAGACCACAGCTAGTATGAATCCATAATGTGCTCCCTAAAATGTGCAGTAAAGCCTAGTTAGTAGGGAGTTAGTAGGGAGCACTCTACTAACTCAAATATGGGAAGCATCTGGAAACCCCAAACCTTGTCAGCATGATGGTCTCTGTTGAGATTTTCCTCCTCCGTAACTCTCAAAGGTATCTTATCCTCATTTAACCATTCCCATAGCAATATCTCTCACCTAGGTTACTACAACTGTCTCTTTTTTTAAAATGAAATTTTAATTCTATTAAAGGCCTCTCCTAAGCATTTATACTCCCTCCCTCCCTAGCACAGAATTGTCGCTAGGAAGTGACACGTTTTCCTACCGAATGACTTCAGGTCATGTTAGGTTTTGCTGTTAAATGAGTTATGAAAATCTGTTAGTTTCCAGAGCTGATAGAATTCTGGAGTTGAGGATGTGGGATTGTAGACCTGTTCCCTCAACAGTAGTAACACAATCAAACTGCCTAGACTTATTTTCCATAAATCCCTTTTTAAAATTTTTTTATTTTTTTTAAAGATTTTATTTATTTGTTCGACAGAGATCACAAGCAGGCAGAGAGGCAGGCAGAGAGAGAGAGGAGGAAGCAGGCTCCCTGCTGAGCAGAGAGCCAGATGCGGGGCTCGATCCCAGGACCCTGAGATCATGACCCAAGCGGAAGGCAGAGGCTTTAACCCACTGAGCCCCCCAGGCGCCCCCATAAATCCCTTTAAGATCCAAGCTTTTCAAACTGGGATCCATGTCATAATGCCAGAGGCTTCGGATAGACCCGAGGTAAAGATAATGTTTCTTCCTGAGAATCAATCATACTCTAGTGAGTAATGTGAAACATTTATAGTAAGAAATGGGTATTTCTGTAGAACAAAACTTGTAAATTTTTATGGTAATACAAGTGACTCCAAAGAAACTTGTCAGGCAGCAGCAGGCTAAGGTCTCAGATACCAAAGGTACAAGTCCCCTCTTCTCTGCCATTAGGAGAATCTGGGCAGGAACCTTGGAGAGGCATTGCTCTATACTCTGGACACCAGCCAAACCCTTCCTTAGCTTCTCCTCAGTATTCTTCATCTTTTTCCGGCCCCTCCCCACTCCCTTTGGAGTTTGTAAAGATGTTTCAAGAAGTTTACATTGTGGGGTGCCTAGATGGCTCAGTCGGTTAACTGTCTGCCTTCAGCTTGGGTCATGAACCCAGGGTCCTGGGATAAAGTCCCACATCTGGCTTCCGGCTCAGCAGGGACTCTGCTTCCCCCTCTGACCCTCCCCCCTGCTTGTGCTTGCTCCCTCTCTCTCAAATAAATAAATAACATCTTTAGAAAAGGAAAACGTTCGGGGTGCCTGGGTGGCTCAGTGGGTTAAGCCTCTGCCTTTGGCTCAGGTCATGATCCCATGGTCCAGGGATCAAGCCCCATATAGGGCCCTCTGCTCAGCGGGGAGCCTGCTTCCCCGCCTCCACCCCCCGCCCGCCTCTCTCTCTGCCTTCCTCTCTGCCTACTTGTGATCTCTCTCAAATAAATAAATAAAATCTTTAAAAAATAAATAAATAAATAAATAAAAAGAAATAAGAAAAAGTTCACATTGTTACAGGGCGTAACAGCATCTCAGTTTCTTACATTGATAATTATTTAAATTATGAACGGGATAGGATTACAATATTAATTGTGTAACTACTACCAGACCTCCCCTTCCTATCCTCTGCTGAGAAAATTTGTCTTTATCTTAGATTCTCTTTCCCCCACCATGCCTTCTATAGGAGAATGCTGCTTTTGCCAGACGAGTTCAAAGCCTTTTATGTTAAAGGAAAAAAACGAATCCTTGAGATACTACATTGGTTGACATTAGAAAGAGCTTGAGAGAAAAAGGCCAGGAAAGAAGCAGGAAACAGAAAAAAAAAAAAATCTACAAACTAAAAAAAGACCACAAAGTACCTACTAACACAGTGAATGAGAAAACAAACAAAAACAAACCCACTTCAAGGTATATAAACATTTAGAACAATAGGGATAAAGGGCGCCTGGGTGGCTCAGTGGGTTAAGCCTCGGCTTTCAGCTCAGGTCATGGTCTCAGGGTCCTGGCACTGAGCCCCACCCAGAGCCCCGCATGGAGCCCCAGCAAAAAAAAAAAAAAAAAAAAAAAAAGGACACGTATTTAAAAAAAGAGAGAGAGAGAGAACAACAGGGATAAAATAAAACTTCCAGAAGAGAGAAAAAGTCTTCATTAAACAGGTCAAGAATCTGATGACGTCATGCCATCAGACTCTTCAGAACAACTGTGGCAATCAGAAGACGAAGGGGCACAGCCCTCCAAATTCTGAAGGCAGTACTTTCTGAGAATTGTATCTACCCTAGTTATCATGTTTGAGTGTAGGATGAGACACTACCATACACGTGAGTTCTCAAAATATTTACCGCTCCAAGGAAGCAGGCTCCTTGGTCTGTCCTCTAGAGGAAGGGAGAAAAGGCAAAAAAAAAAAAAAAAAAAAAAAAAAAAGGGGGGGGGGGGGGGGGGGAAAGAGACCCAAGCACCATAAAACAGGCTGTAAGCAGAGGAGAGAGGTGAAAAGGTTAAGGTCTGAGAAGAGAGAGGGAAACCCCTGAATTACAGCCACACAGCAGTGCAGCTGGGCCATCAGTCTAGTCCGGAGCAAGAAGACAGAGCTGGGGGATGCCCTGGGGTAGGGGAATGGTTACACCATGACTCTCCTCTCCTAGACTCTCCTGTCCTACCTAGAGGGGAGCTCTGCTTGCGACAAAAAGAGAATATCGATGACTGAGTAGTAATGACACAAAATTTAAGTCAACATTTAAAATGTGGTATTACTAATTTCCAGGAAATCAACAAAGGAAATACAGTCATAGCATGCTACACGGATTCGCTGTGGATATTTGCCTAATAATAATAATGCACATTCTAAATGCTGGCCACACCAAAACTGAATTATAATTTTACTGGGAAGGTGGGGATGAGTGGGAACAGGTGTTAAGTGTACATGCATGTCTGTAAGCGAGCTGACGTTTCCTCCTACACAGTATAAAGCTAAATCTAAACCCCGGGGGCTGAGGGGACATTGGTAAGTAGCAGTAAAGTCTGTGATCTAGAAATATCAAGGAGTTGGCAATCATTCTTTACAACAGGAATCTGGGGCAGGGAGGGAAACGCTGTTTTTCTCTATAAGCCTTGGGGTGCTTTTTGACTTTTAAACCCCATACGCATATACTTTTATAAAAATCGAAATGAAACACGTGATGGTTGCCAGCCGTAGGGTTAACTTATATATTACCCTTTCAATCTTCCCCACGTGTCCACAGCTCGGTACTGTTCCCCCATTCTCCAGAAGAGGACCCTGACGTGCAGGCCCTCGCCCACACTCCACTAGTGTTAAGGACGACCCTCCCCCGAGCCTCTCCCCACCCGCCGCGAGCCTCCCCCTACCAGAGCCCCGCGCACCTGGCCAGTGGCCGGCACAAAAGAGGCCGTTCAACCAGTACTCGCTTGACTGAGGGCCACAGCCGCCGAGAGGCCGGGCGGGGAGTGCGTGCTGCGGGGTCCCGGGGAGGCGAGCGGGCGGGCGGTGCCGGCGCGCAGGGAGGGCGGTACCGGGAGTTTCTGGGAACAGCCAGGGCAGGGAGGCGGGTGGGAACGAAAGCCGAGCGGTAGGCAAGACTCTTACCCGGCCGGAAGAAAAGTAGGGTGCTGGTGAGATAGTTCAGCAACTCCATAATCCGGTGTTTTTCCAAGTAATTCCTGGCCTCCAGCTCCCTGCTGCCGCCTGCCCGCATGGCTCAGCGTGAGGGCGTTGCTAGGCGACCAGGCGGCGTCAGGGCCGTGGGGCTCCACCCCCTCCGCCCGGCGCGGTCGGCCTTAGCGGGCGACCTGAGACCGGAGTTCTCCACTTCCTCGCGGAGAGGAAGCCTGGGGCGGCGTGGGGTGGCGCCTGCGCGGAGGCTGAGGGTGGCGGGTGCAGAGCCCCTGGCTGGCGGAGGGTCCGGTTCCCCGGCTGGGCGGAGGGCTGGGCCTGATTGGCTTTTCCTGTTTTTGTCTCTAGCACCTAACCCAGTGCCTGTTGATCCAGGGACTGAGACCTCAGGTTCTAATAACATAGGATGAACCTGGGGAATTAGAGAGCATACAGGGAGAGTCCTAAATCGGGGCAGGGGTCCGCCGGCTCTCTGCCCTGGGCTGCGGGTCGGGAAGCGTGCTGGGATCCTGAGCGCCAACGTCTCTGCAGCTTAACTAGGCGGCGCCGAGGGGTCGTGTCTTCAAAGACTACCTGACAGTAGTGTTGAGGGAGAGTCACTGAGTACGACGGGATGCAGGTGCATAGCAGGGCCCGCGCTTCAGTCGTCGGTTTGCCTCGGAAACTGGACTCTAGGCTGGGACTTCTGTCCTTGAGGGCCAGGCTCGGAAGCCTGTGGCCTTACCGTCAACAGGGAGTTATCCCAGGCACTTCAAGGAGAGAAAAGACAAATGGCCAATAAACATACGAAAATATTCCCAGCCTCTTCGACAATCCTGTAAACAAAACTACAAGAAAACGCCAGTTTACATGTAGCAGACTGGTCATAGTTAGGAAGTTGGACAATATCGAGCTGGCAAGGATACACTGCGACAAAACAGTGATGACGGGAGCCCAAATTGGAACACCCACTTTGGACAATCGATTTGGAATTATCTTGATAATGCAAGCATGTTTCTGCACTCAGAGAGCAGCTTTTGGACAGGTGTACCCAGATATGTGCACAAGAATGTTCACAGCAGCACTCTTCATAATAACAAACACTGACGGCCCCCAAATTCATCAAGAACACAATGGATTGGGGAGCCTGGGTGGCTCAGTTGGTTGGGCATCTGCCTTTGGCTCAGGTCATGATCCCATGTGTTGTGGGATAGAGCCCCATATGCGGCTTCGTGCTCCCCGTGGAGTTTGCTTGTCCCTCTCCCTTTGCTCTTTCCTGGCTTGTGCGCTTGCTCTCTCTCTCTCTGTCTCTCTCTGTCTCTCAAATAAATGAATAAAATCTTTAAAATGTCAGGACTGTTCTTTAATGGAGGAAGAGAAGACTGCGTGGTGGTCCATTGGAGACGGTGATTTCTGCCTGGTGCTCTAAGCTCAAGACATTTGGTCCTCCCTGTGAGAGCTTCACTTACTCTCCCTGGGTTACTCGAGCCCTGAATAAATAGCTCTGCTCTTGGAAACTCAGACGACCTAGAACCTTGACCTGGAAATGCAGCGGTCCGATCTTCTGTGACTGTGGAGGCAGGCTGCACGCTGGACCCTGCAGACGTCTTCCTGACTGTCTTCTGTTCCAAAAGGCCTGGCTGCGTTCCTGTGCCCAGTGCTCCCTCTTACTATTCCCGCGGAAGTGATGCTAAAGAGAAGTATCCAGATGCCACCTAGTGGACCAGCTATTTCTGTTGATGCCTTTCCTCTCTCTCAAGATTTTACTTATTTGTGAGAGTGTGTGTGCCTGAGCGTGAGCAGGAGGGAGGGCAGAGGGAGAAGCAGACACCCCGCTGAGCGGGGAGCTCCATGCCGGGCTCGAGGTGGGGCTCGATCCCAAAACCCTGGGATCGTGACCTGACCCAAAGGCGGATGCTTAGCAGACTGAGCCAGCCAGGTGCCCCATGCTGGTGCCATCTCTTAAGGCAATTTGGGCTTAATTAATCACCATCATCAACATCGCCATCCTAATGCGTCACCATCCCTTCGACTTCCCCCTTGCCCCTCTCCTTGTTATTGCTAACCCTTTAGTGGTTTGGGAGAGTAACTCCAGTTGGAAGACATGAAGGCGGTGGTTCCCAGTCACAACTGCGCCTTAGAACCAACCGGGTCCTTTAGAGAGTACTGGAGGCGGGGCCCCATTTTAGACGCACGAAATGGAATCTCTTGAATTGGGGCATGAACATTGGTAGTTCTGTTGTTGTTGCTTTAAAAGCAAGGATTGAGGTATAATTAACATTTAAAAAACTGCACATCTGGGGCGCCTGGGTGGCTCAGTGGGTTAAAGCCTCTGCCTTCGGCTCAGGTCATGATCTCAGGGTCCTTGGATCGAGCCCCGCATTGGGCTCTCTGCTCAGCGGGGAGCCTGCTTCCCCCGCCCCCGCCGCCCTGCCTTCCTCTCTGCCTACTTGTGATCTCTGTCAAATAAATTTAAATAAGTTTAAAAATAAATAAATAAACTGCACATCTTTAAGGTGTACTCATTGATAAATATACATCCATGAAACCATGACTGCAGTCAAGACGAGAAACATATCTATAACCCCCAAAGGTTGCCCTGTGCCCCTTTCTAGTTCCTCCCCCTCACCCCTCCTCCACCCTGCTCCCCCATCGCCAGGTAACCACTGACCTGCTAGTTATTCCTCTAGATTAGTTTACATTTTCTGAATTTTATATAAATGGAGCCACATGGCGTGGGTTTGCTGTTCTTGTTTTGGCTCAGTGAGTGTCTTTCACTCGATATAATTTTTTTTAACTATTTATTTATTTGTCAGAGAGAGAGAGAGAGAGAGAGAGAGCACAAGCAGGGGGAGCAGCAGAGGCAGAGAGAGAAGCAGACTCCCCGCTGAGCAAGGAGACCAATGTAGGACTCGATCCCAGGACCCTGGGATCATGACCTGAGCTGAAGGCAGACACTTAGCCAACGGAGCCACCCGGGCGTCCCTCAATATAATTATGTTTTGAGACTCACCTGTGTCGTTGCACGGCGCCGTACCTCATCCTGTGCTGGTGCTGAGTAGGACTTCAGGGACGGAGGAGCTATGACAAACAGATCTGACATAAACATCGGCATATGGATCTGGGGTGGGCACGTGAGTTCATCTCCTTTAGGGTAAGAGCTAGGAGTGGACTGCTGGATCATATGGGAAGTGCAGTATTTTGAGAAAATGCCAAACAATTTTCCCCAGTGGCTGTGCCATTTTACCTCCCCAAACTGGTGGTTATGAAAGGCCCCCCAGGGTGAGCCTGGTGCTCGGGCGGGACTGAGACCCTGCCTGATGGCCGCCCGGGAGGCCTGGGCTGAAGGTCTGAGTAACATTGCTCAGGATCCCCAAGAGTAGAGTCCCGCCCGTCTCCATGCAGGACACACGCGGGAATCTCCCAGGAGCTTTCTACAAACACAGCGTCTGTTCCTTCCCCTGCAGGGACCCTGATGTGATTGCTCCTCAGACACCGGGCACGTGGGGGGGCTATCTCAGGCATCAGAGCTTTTCCTAACAGCTTCCTGGGTAGTTCTAGAGCGCAGAGTGACTAACCCCCCTTGTTTGCCCAGGACCCCTAGGGGGGCGGTTCTGGGAAACTTATCATCACAAGACTAGGAAAGTCCCAGGTCAGCTGAGCACCTGGTCACCCTGTTTGTGGACCACTAGCACAAGGGCGTGGGCTTTGGTGTCAGATTTGCCAATCTCTCCGTGCACCGGGGATGTGTAGCTCACGGGGCCGGTGTGTGTGTCGGGGGCCATTGTATAAGGGGGAAGCTGAGCCTCCACAACAGATTGTGGGTGACTCCTCTCTGTTTTCTGTTTCAACCAGGAGTAAGTCAGAGATGCCTCAGCTAGGAGTTTTGCTTGCTATTAAAAAGGAGGGTAAGGGGCACCTGGGTGGCTCAGTCGGTTAGGTGTCTGCCTTCGGTTCAGGTCATGATCCCAGGGTTCAGGCTCCTTGCTCAGCAGGGAGTCTGTAACTTAACCACCTCCTTCTCCTTCTGCCCCTCTCCATTCTTACGCTCTCTTGCTCAATTGCCTTCTCTCTCTCCCTCTCAAATAAATAAATAAATAAATAAATAAAATCTTAAAAAAAAAAACAGTGTAGAAATTTCCATGTGGCCTTCCTTTGGCTCTTCCCAATGACAATACATCACATAACCATAGAACATCACCATCAGGGTGCCTGGGTGACTCGGTCGTTGAGTGTCTGCCTTTGCCTCAGGTCATGATCTCAGGGTCCTGGGATCGAGCCCCGAATTGGGCTCCTTGCTCAGCGGGAAGCCTGCTTCTCCCTCTCTTACTCCCCCTGCTTGTGTTTCCCCCCTTGCTGTCTCTCTCTGTCAAATATATAAAATCTTAAAAAAAAAAAAAAAAGAACATCACCATAGAACTAGGAAATCAACACTGGTACATACTATTCACTGGGGCATAGACCTCATTTGCATTTCACTAGTTTTTACCTGAATTCTTTTTTCTTTTTCTGTCCTGTTTCACTTTTTGTTTAAAAAATAATCTCTACACCCAACATGGGCCTTGAACTCATGACCCCAAGATCAAAAGTTGCATGCTCTCCTGACCGAGCCAGGCGGGCACCCCAGTTCTGTTTCATTTTTGAGGATACTTCTGTATTTCAGAATATCATATAAACGGAGCTTCATTTTATAAACTGAGACTAAATTTAACTTCCATCCCACTGACTGGGTCTGCTGAAGCTTGAATTAGGTCCACCAAATTGAAGCCCAGAACAAAATTTATGGAAAACCTTCTTTGTGCTTCTAAATTATTTCTATGATGGATGACCTCAGATGATTTGCTATTTATACAATTTACCTGGGGGATCGAGGACCCTTTCCCAAAAGGCTTCCCGTGGATGAGCTGTGTGGTCCTCACCAAATGACTTGACCTCCGCAAGCTTTGGTTTTTCTCAACTGTAAAATGGGGGCAAGAATCTCACCCACCTCATGGAATTATGGCAAAGTCTTGCCCGCAGCTGGCAGCCTGTAGGGTGGAATGGAGGGTGTGGTCTCTCATGGCTATGGATGGTGACGAGGGGGCACATGGTCCTGTCTTCCCTAGC